TGTGCTCCGAAGTCCAACTTCTTTCCATCTATTCTTCGTTCTTTTGTGTACACAATAAAATATTCCTTCTATTCTGGCCTTCACTGACTTCTCCTCTATTAAGTAACCATGGTCTGAAGATCGCAGTTGCTAGGGGTTAAGTTACTTAACCCCCTGCGATAGGAGTACCTAGGAGCATGGCAGAATCATGCTTCAAATCACACTGCACCTAAAACTCTGCAGGCAGCTCTTGGAGTGTGACCACATTGTTCTGTTGTACTTGGGACAGGAGACGTGTGGTGACCTCACATACCACGACATGCATAAGATCACACCATTGCGTTCCTTGCGTGCCTCTGGAGCAAGCCGCACGTTTGTCTCTCGTGGGGACTAGGCAACTGCACACCAGAGCGTGTCAAAGGCCGGTTAAGGTCACTGGCTTGGGTTCACCTTCTCTCTGTCCTAACTGGCCGAGCAGCTTTCAAGGCCGACTATAAAAGGACCCGGCGACCTCACTGTCAAACTGCAGACTCCAGACCCGGCTCGCTCACGGCTGGGCTGCAGTCGTTCATAGTCCACTCCTGCACTTAATTAAAATATTTCTAACGCTCTGGCCTGCCACGTCTTCTCTTCTTACTTACTGATCTATAACTATTGGGGTACTTCTACTACCCGGTCGGACTACTTCGTATCCTACAGACGCATCCGTATTTCAGCATCCTTGGGATGCTGGAGGCCGCAGGTGAAAAGAGACATTTAAACTGGTCTATTATAAGAAAACCGAGCTGAAAACGTCCACGCTCGCGATCGGCAATGCCCTCATACGTGATGCAATATTCGAATTCTTGTTTGCACAGTCGGAGGTACGGGAATAGTGTTTAACAGGGAATGACTGTTCATTATGAACCTACGCTAACGTCTTCAGTGTGTCCGTGGAAGTAATTTCTCTGCAGGATGCAGTTTACGGAGTAGGAATCGCACCTTACATGCATCCTCCTGGGCAGCCAAATTGACTGAGGGCAAGTCCTCGTATCGTTTGTACCAGGAATCAAAAGTGATGTGGGCCTGTGGGTCATAGGGGAACTCGGTGATACTGCCAGCGATGTGATCGACGGATTGTGAACCACCAGCAATGATTGACTGGCAACGGATGAGTTGCATAGCTTAACGGTGGGGCTTCCATCAGCTTCAGTTGCTGTTGCAATAGTTGCTCCAAGTCAGCTTACGCGTAAGCCATCTTAAGTGCGAAAATCTGTCGCCAATTTATGACCCTTGCCTGGTACTATTAATTAACACCAGCTGTAAACTTGCCCAACTGTTGTCCCTAAAGCCAATACGGGACAGGATGATAACACAAGAAACGATCTTTAAAGAACTAAAAAGCTTGAAGGAATATAAATCTCCCGGTCAAATGCAACAGATATCCACCTTTTCTGGAAAAAAATCATCAATCTAGGATCACCTAAGATAGGTCTTGCAACATGGTCTACAGGGACATGAACTTTCATTCGGGAGTTAAATAACTTTTAGGAAAAAGTACATGTCGCAATGTTTTGACACCGCCTGGAAGCCAAGTTCTTTTCAGCCGGCCAGGAAGATCTGTAATAATGTTCAGGTTCATACAGATGACTGTTAGAACCTTGCCCATTACTACCTTGAGGTGATCATGCGGTTTGTGGCAGTCCATAGCCTAGCTAGGAATTGCAAATGTTTGTGGGGTATTGCTCAATTTAATCGGCGGCGGACGGAAAACTTCGACTGTCATCAGGATTTTACTTTCCGTTGAAGTGTAGCTGTTTTACATGTTTCTAATCCAGGAGTCCGCGTCAGATACTGACACTTTTTCGGATGCACCTCATGCATAAATGGCTGCAGCTCAGAGCGCAGTGGCAAATGGAGGTGTTGGCTCCTAAATTTCTTCAAATAATATACTAGTTTGTTTGCATGTTTCGCTGCTCAACTGAGTCAATTGGCAATAACAGTTGCTGGAGTCTCCTTACTGACTTGTGGTGTAGAATTCACAGCGATCGGTTGTATTAAACGCGTATCCAGGGATAAATTCCCTCTAATACTCCTATATCATACTCGGCTAGGCAGACACAAAAACAGGCCCGATTATATTCAGGTGAGACAAGCCCATAGTGTTGAATGCATACCGATACTGATAATCAAAACTTCTCTTCAGAATAGCAAAATCATTGGACTCGTTTTAGGTGTATTTTATAATTGTATCATTGAAACATACATCTGTGTGTACTAATATTGAGAAAACTATTACAAAGTCACCAAGTGCAGTGACCACATT